GCCGCCCCGCTCACCAGGGCGCTCATCCCCTTCCTTGGGCGGCTCTGTGCGGTGTAGTCGGTGCGGTAGGTCGTCTTCCCGTCCTGCAGGCGCTGGACGTTCGTGAGGAAGATCGGGCGATTGCGGACGCTGCCGCTGAGGGTGAAGGCTTCGCCGAGGTTTCCCGTGCCGTGGCCGTCAGGGTCCCTGTTATAGTCGTAGTCGTAACGTGTCAGGTGAAGAGACATCATGTCGGCCGGCCCATGCGGGGCCAACGGAACGTCTTTCAACGGTCCTAGAACTTGTGACATCGCCTATGAATCGCTTCTTGGGGGAAGGGGGTTCAGATTATTAGGGAATAAAGAAAAGGAGGGAGAGGGAGGGGGAACTTGTTTGGAGGTGAAATACCAAGGATAGTTGTTGTTTTTAATGTGTAACAGATAGGATAAAAGAAAGAGTTGTAGTTGTTTACTGGTAAATCTAGGTGGATATATTGAAAATGCATAAATGAATAGACAGGGAGCAAGGAGTTAGATGTTGTTAAGTTAGGGTTAGATATCTTGCAGTCTTGATCTTTTTGGGGGGGGTAAGCGCGTTTTAGGCTCACACTTCAGTTCAGTATAATGCTCATGTTAGGACGTTAAAGACGTGGAAGGCTGACAACATATCACGCTATCACGCGTAGATTTTTCACAAGGGCTTATGAACATCTGTTTTATACCACATGTGGTGATGGCGATGTCAGCGTTCAATATAAGCCTTCAGCACGGGCGTTGAATGAAGACTTATTAAAATCCTTGGTAACTTTACAGAGCTAGACGAAGTGTTCTTCCTTGGGGCTGAGACCAATAAGTATTCTGCGGACACACTAAGACTACCGCAGATGTCAGAGAAGTACAGAGGTATGTGAAGCTGTTTCCATATTCTGATGTTTACTTCGGAAATTTGTAGAAGAGTGTTGAAACAAACTCATTGTATTTTGGGGGATACAAAAGATGACTAAACAATTATTTTAATCAACCTTCAGAAGTATACTATCTTTAAAATAGAAGGTATCCCAACCTCAAAATAATAGTATCGCGTTACTCGTCCTTTCAGCTCACAGATGGAAATTGCTGTGAAGAACGATGGAATAATTTTTTAGGATCCTGCGCGTTCATTACAACGCATAGAATAAGCTTTCACCGAACAAGCTGTTTTCTCTAACCTGTAACACTTTTTTAAAGCCTCTTTTACGCATTTCGGTTTATAGACACCATTGCGTGTAGTTCTGATGGTTTCTTAATATTTTCATATTGAATGTCTCAGTATATTTGAGTACATGTGGGTTTCCTTACAATGGCTTCATTATACAAAAACTATGAGACCTTCAATATGCAATGTGATTTCTCCTGAAAGAAATAAAATAGAAGGAAGGAGTGAAATAACAAATGTCTGGGACTCCTCCCATATTGCTTCCCTTTAACGAAGAAAATGGGTATGAACACTTTTGGATAAACTTATGACACCCAAATCAAGACACTTTTGTGAATATAGACCGATAACATCGAATCGACCCCCTCACGATCTAGAGTATTAAGCGAGCCATACATACAAAATTATCTATTAAGACAGGAATCAAATCTCTAAGGGATGAAATAGAACCAGCCTTAAGAGCTCTCGGAAACGAAAATTCCTCAGGGAGGCAGTCTACCTTTCCTTGAGGAAATAGACCCAAGACAAAAAAAAGTCATGGTATCTTTTTCCACGAGTGTACTACTTCAGACGGTCCACACGTGAAACTAAACAAAGCCAAGGGGATAAAAATCTATCGCCGATGTGTGGATATATAGATCTACAAAAAGAACAGGAAATCCTCCACCCCCTTCCCTTCACGAAAGTTTTGCATCTAAGCACGCCTTATAGCAGAAATAAAAAAAACGAAAAGGACTCATGCTATAAGCAGCGAAATTAATAATTCGCGACACCATGCCCCTCCGCCGCCGCGGCAGCCTCCTCGAGGGCTCTTCGGAAGAACACCTTCTTCTCCATCTGCCGCAGCGAGGCTCGCATTAAATCGAGCTCACTCCGAACCCCTTCCATTTCCAGGTCGTGCCGCTCCTTCGCCCGCCTTCGGAGCTCCCGCTCCCGGCGAAGTGCCTCCGTCAGCCGGGTGATCCGCTCGTTCTGGGCCTGCAGGGTCTCGGCGTGGTGCCGGCGCTCCGCCAGGACCCCGTGGCGGTGGGCCGCCAAGTCCGCGCCGAGCCCCCGCACCACCGGCGCGTATCGCCCCTCCACCCGCCGGACCTCGTCCAGCAGCGCGCCCGCCTCCTTTCGTCGGGCTCCCT